CGAGTAATTGAACTGCAGTCAAAGAGTGTGTAATTAAATTGAGTACTGTTGAAGTCAAGCACGTGAGACGTTTGTTATAGCGCGACTGTTGAAATTAAGTGTATCGCAAAGTTATATTCAGAAAGAATAAACCAGTTTTATTTAAGAAAGGACTTGTGTCGCTAAAGTTTCGTCGTAACGAATTTACGGAAAATTAACTAACGAACGGAGATGTAACAAATTGGTGTCAGAAGTGGGATAAAAAAATGGAAACGAGAAGTGGCAAATCAAACTAAAGCCTGGCAGACTTGATGGCAACAATACAAGAACGAGCAAAAGAAACAAGAAGAACGAGAAGAGAAATTACAACAGTTGTTAGAGGAAAAAAGAAAAGAAACAAGAAGAGAGACAACAGCAGTTGCAAGAAAACCTGCAAAAGTGGCAGCTCGAACAGCAAAATAAACAAGAAGAGAGATTACAGCAGTGGCAAGAAAACTTGCAGCAGTGGCAGTTCGAACAGCAAAATAAACAAGAAGAGAGATTACAACAGCTATTGGAGGAGAAAGAAAATAAACAAGAAGAGAAATTACAGTAGTTGTTGGAGGAGAAAGAAAATAAACAAGAAGAGAGACTACAACAGTGGCAACTAGAACAAGAAAGGAAACAGGAAGAAAGTACCCAACAGTTGCAGGAAAGTCAGCAGCAACTATAGGAAAATCAACAACAATGGCAAGAAGTACAAATGGAAAACATTAGTAAATTTAAAAGCGAATTAGATAACGTTAAAGGACAATTTATTGTATTTTACACAAGGAGGATACATTAACCATCGACTTAACCAGCCCCAGACAATGACAAACCCCTTCCAGACCCTGCAGCTAAACCCTATTGCAGACATATTCAGTCCCGTTAGAAGTCACATCCCAGATATCAATGTCAGTACTAGGAGTGATCCAGTACGAAGGAAGCCACAGGAATTTGATGGGAAAACACTGTGGGAAGCATACAGAGCACAACTGGAGTTACTGGCAGAGATGAACGGATAAACAGATGAGCAGAAAGCAGTATATCTGGCAACTAGCTTGAAGGGACAACCACTGCAAATACTTGGACAGTTGTCAGCAGACGACAGGCAC